AAAAAAAAGGAAAAAAAAAAGAGACCTGCAGAAGCTGAAGTGGTTGTGTGGTTGTGACACTTCTGTTGAAACTGACCTCCATGTGCAGTAACTGGAAACTACTATAAATAAGCAGTTAAGGGTGACCTCCTTGTTCATACAACACAGAGATTTGCCCCCATCCTAATGACTGATGTAAAGCCAACACAAAAAACCACTGCTAGGACTGAGGAAAAAGCTTGTTTCTCAGCAGAAAAAAATAGTATTATTTTACTTTGATATTAGATAAAAACATCTGTGATACATAAGACTGAAAAAGTTTCAAGAATGAGTTTTTAATATACACTTCAGAATTTTGAAACGTTAGCACTAGCCTTTTGGATTATTAGAGAAAGACATCTCCTCAAAGCTATGTGCTTCTGAGCATGAGAACAACGATCTATGAAAAGATCTTGATTGATGGCAATTCTCTTGATTTTCCCCCAATTATTTCAAACTGAAACATCTGTTTTACATAGAAAATGTTGTTCTACAGTGTTTGCCAATGCCAATCCCGATTTACAGCAGTAGATTTGAAACAAAGGCAAAGCTTTAAAAAGTGTATTTATTTACTAATATTGTTGACTTTCAAGATCAAGTCACTAAAAGCACAGCTTCTGTGTTTTTAAGTTCCTCAAATACTATTCATCAACTGGAGTGACTCTGGGGTAGGACATTCAATAAGTACAGTGGAAAAAACACACAAATTATAAAGATTGACTGCAGCAGTCAGACAGGGATTGCTCTGTTTCATTTTATCCAAACAATGATAGATATCTTCTGTATTTTTAAAATCTCACAGAGGCTTAAGTTTAGATTCCTAAAGACTATGATTTGTTTTAAACTTGAGACAAGGCACAGAACATTTGATCCATAGAAATAAATTACTGCCAACAAGAAGTTCTTAGCACAGCAATCAATAAAGCCTATGTTAACCTAAGGAATTAGGCTAAAGATTTCTGTTATCTCTGACAACACCTACAAAATTCCTCCCTTTCCTTCTTACAACATTTCCCCAGAGCATTTAGTCACAATATATAGGATGCAATATTAAATTAAAAAAAAAAATCCACATGGGTAGCGAAGTTAGTGAGAGAGAATTTGCAAGCGTCCGAGCCCCCATGAAACAACCATACTCTGAATCAAATTGGTTAACTGCAGCCAAAAGGTTCAAACACTTCAAAAGTGGGAGGAAGAGAATGATACATTCAAAGACTCAGAACAATCAATGGCATAACATGTATTTTTATGGGAAACAAGCAAAAAAAAATAATAAAGTGAATCTCGGGAGTTCAAAAGGCAGGCACAACATATTTGAAGTGCTTATCACCAAAGCAATACTAGAATTAATCACTCACGGGAGAGAGGAAAAAGATTTACAGCATTTAAGGGCATAAAGTACAAAAAACTTTGGGGCAGAGTGGCCAAAATGCAAAGTTTATTTTCAGTTACTCAAGAGTTGTTAAGTTCTAGCTGTTTAAGGTCAGCCATAAGGTCAGAGAAAAAGGGGAAGAGAGCCCTGTCATTTTTTCTCCAACGTGACCTTTACTTTGGAGGCTCAGATAAACTTTTATATCAGATTATTTCCTATTCTGCTCTGCATTGCATTATTATTAGAAATTGCATGATGTAGCCAAAGAGAGTATGTTTAGAAAAGACATCTGAAGAGTTACATATAAACTTCTTTTTACACTTCCTTAAAGACTGGGAAATACTGTAATACTTCCAGACAAACCATTTGAAACATTGAAGTAAATATGACTGACTTTGTTTCAAAAGTCACAAGGCAGTAAGATTTCATCTCACATCATTTTCTATCAATTTCTATGAATCCAATTCCTCTGTTAGTCATTGGATGATTTTGTTTAAGCTGTCAGTAGTTCCTATTAGTCCCCTTGCTTGTGTGCCTGAAATGATCACTACAGAAGGCACCTCTGTTGGCAGTTCAGTGGAGAACTTTAAAGCCTCAAGAGGCTGCACCACCCTCATATCACAAAAGGTAGCTTATTCCATATCAGAAGAGCTGCAAACTGAGGTCTACTCTTTCATCTAACTGAATTCTCAGTGATGACAATGGCATTGCTGTGCTACAGTGGTTATGATGATGATAAGACACTCACCTCCACAAGCTTCATCATAGGCACAGGATTGAAGAAATGGAGACCACCAAATCGGTCCTGCCTGGTGGTTGAGTTAGCCAACTGTGTGATTTGCAAGGATGAAGTATTGCTTGCAAATATTGTATGCCTGGAAACAAGAACATATGGATTGCATAAATGACAGCTATTTTTCTGACAGTAGGAGACTGGTGCACTAAATGTAAAGAGACATCCTTTGGTTAACCATCCACACAACTCTCAGAAATACCCCTGCAGATTATCATGGCCTCTTGCTGAGGTGCAAGTACAGAAACGACGAAATAACCACTGGGAGAATTGTCCGAGTCTCTGTTTCCGAGTAAGTACGTTGAATACTTATATTAGATGATGGAAAAAAAAAAGACTCTGTAACTAGAAAGTTTTTGTTAACTCCTCAAATCTATTCCAGGTAATTCCTTCAGCAATCCTGGGAAACTAGTACTTTTTTATTGTTAATCAATCACATTTACAGAAAGTCAATGATTTGCCATGTCAAAAATGCACTTTTGAGTCTTGAGAAAAATCTAGAACTTTTTTTTTTTAATAATGATCGATGGTAGACATGATGAGCAAGTCTACCACCAGAGCAAAGAGCTGATGGAAAAAAAAAAACAGAGCAAATAAAAATTTCCATGCATGGCACGCTGCAAAGGATGCACAAAATCATAAGAATTTTGAGACATATATGAAGTCCTTTTCCAGACAGAAACTGGACATAGTAATTGCAATTTATAACAGTTTGTTGGTTTGGTTGGTTGGTTTTTTTGTTTTGTTTTCCCAGAAATATCTCATGCCCTCAACAGCCCTGCTATACTCACAGTCCTACTATACTCAGAAACTGGACATAGTAATTGCAATTTATAACGGTTTGTTGATTTGGTTTTGTTTTGTTTTCCCAGAAATATCTTTTCCCAGAAATATCTCATGCCCTCAACAGCCCTGCTATACTCACAGTCCTACTATACTCACAGCCCTGCTATACTCACAGCACACCGAAAACTTACAGAAATGGCATTTTCTTCAAACCACAAAAATCAGAAACTAAATTAGAGATCAAACCCTACCTTCCATTCTGGGCTGTATCCTACTGACCTTTCAAAATGTTATCCTACTGGACTCATCACATGTTAATCTGTACTGCTATTTTGTTACATTTCACTAAGATATAATAGAGCTTTGTAAGGGAGCTTTCGGACAAGTTACATCCAAGTCATAGGGACATCTTATAGTGGCATTAAAAAGAAAACATTTGGGGATAAAGAACCCCACACTGATTTCCATTTTTTATTGTTTTCTCAGTCTTTGAGAATTTGTTACAGAGAAGGGAATAAAAAAATCCTGAAAATTCCTGTTTACACTTCTTACAAATATTCTTTTGTTATTTAGAACCCCACACTGATTTCCATTTTTTATTGTGTTTTCTCAGTTTTTGAGAATTTGTTACAGAGAAGAGAATAAAAAATCTTGAAAATTCCTGTTTACTCTTCTTGCAAATATTCTTTTGTTATTACTCCACCATAAAGTGGGCCTTATATTGTTCTAAGGTGGGATACTAAAAGGAGTATTCTACATCCATAGTTCTGACCTTGCAAGGTCAATGCACCCAAAAGACACTTATCTTCACTGAAAATCTGCCACTGTATACAAATAATTCAAATATTAATATAAAAATTAAGCACATTGATTTGTGAGAGGTAATCATTGTTAGGTTTCTATCTAGGCTCACTTAAAGTAGAAGATTTTACCTCAGCATCACTTGTGTGGGTGAATACTGTAGCTTCACACAATATTAAGCCTTAGGAAAAAAAAAAGCTTTAGATTTGTATTGTGTACAAGGGCATTTTATTTACACTTTCTGCTCTGACCAACCAATTGATATAAATTGAGTTTAAAATACAATTTACATGCCTCTGTGACTTGGAATTCCATAATGCAGGTGACGGCAGAGTTTGAAGGCTTTAGCACGCATGAGTATTAAGGAAGCCCTGGTGAGGCTGTTCCAGGCACCAGCGCTCTTTCTCTTGGTGCCGCCCAGCAGGTCAGGGGAACACATGGAAAATACGAGTCCAGCACAAGGAAAACACACCATTTCAGTAAAACCCTTACAGTCCAGCTGCATTTCACAGGGAACACTGGACAACACTTATTTTTAACAGTTTTATAACACGCTGTTTCTAACACAGTGAACAGTTGAAAACCACAGTCCAGTTCCTGGCTGAGCTTCCCCATCTAGAGATAAATCCTACACCAAGAAATGTTGATGGGCATTCCCACCACCCAGAAATAAACAGAAAGCAAGCAGACAAGAGCTTTTAAAGTGGATGCCCAAAAGTTATTTTGTCATGTTCATTATGATCCTGTTTGGAAAAGTGCTGCAGGGTTTAAACACCTAAAAGCCACAAAGAACGTGGGGATATTCTACAAAAACCTTAGCCTGACCTTTTCAAAATGGAAAAGTGAGACTGACTCAATTCAGTTCAAGAAAAACAGAACTGAAGAGTGGGCAGCAAAGCTTTAGCACTTGCTCTGAAGATGATGACCATGTAACACAGTAACAATTACCACAGTAGGAGGATGAGCATAACACTGAGTGGAATGTAACATACACAAGCAATTCTGCACAGCTCTAGCGCTTTCAGACTGGTGGCATCCAAGAAACAGCCCTCACTGTTTCACCTGGACAGTCACTCAGATGAGGAATACCCTGAGGTCCCAACACTCTCTGGGGTTGCCAAACTCCCCTGGCTTGTTACATTTTCTCTGAAAACTTAGAAATTCATTCCCCACCCCCAAATAAAACTTCTCTCAATAAAGAATAGCTTTCCCACCCCCCTCCATTTATAGTTCTTTTATAGAGAAAAAGGAAGAGGAATTAAGTTAATAACGTTTTGGTTTTTTAATGCAACACATTTGTTTTGTGCTGTCCCCAGACCAATCTTCATCAGACAGGTCATCATAGTGCAAAAATGGGAGATGAACATGTAGTTGTTGCCGCTGAAGAAACACATGAGACATGGGATACAGTACAAAGGAAGAAAAATGGAAGTTTTCACATGTTCTATGTTCCAGAGGCATAATTCATCATCTTGTCTGAGCAACTGTAATACACAGCCCCTTACATTTCAATCAGCTATCAGCTACCCTTGCAGTAAGTCCTGAGATTTGAATTAAGACAAGTCCTCCCTCCTCAGGAGCCTGGTCTTTCATGATCTCTGCCTATAACATCCACTCCACAGTGCCATAAACGCTCAGGACCCCAAAGAAGCAAAGCTTCCCCCGAGACTCAAAGATATGTTTAAACAAATCTTGTCATTGTTACCAATCAACCACAAGTCCACCATCTCCATTAAGCTGATGCAACAGTTAGACCATATAATAGTTTTAGAAATTTTGAAACATTTAATCTTAGCAAAGGCTGTAGGATGCCTGCACTGACAGGGAGAGCTTTCCACCACCTGGGATGAATAAAGCCTACTCCTTTCTTCTAATGCACAGAAAAACACTCAATAGACATTTCTGCCTTTCCCCATGCTACTCACACAATCTGCAGCTCTATGCTCCTCACGGAATTGCAAAATACCCTTTGTATCTACTAGCTAATATTTTAAACACTTGGCTACTAAGTTTCACTATTTTACTAGCTTTTCTTTCTTTTCATCTAGACTTTCTACACTGCAAACCATATTCTTCACTATTCACTTCCCTTTTCTTCATCCTGCACGTGAGATGTCTGTATGTTTACCATAATTTCCAATTATCCTCTTGAAAAAGAAGGCTTCTTGTCTAATGCAATTTTTCGAACCCTGCAAAACCATATGCCTTTTGCCACAGGAAGGAGCATATCTGAACAACTCCCAGTATATTTTAACACTCTGTAATGTAAAATTTGATGTGTCAAGGCAGCTATGCTTATAAACAGCACAATCTTACCAAAAACAGCCTCAGATGTTCCATATATATATATTATTAAATGAGGCTCCAAGTCCCCGTGCCTACTTTTCCTTGCTAACTGGTTCTAGACAGCTTACCAATTAGTGCACTCTAATTTGTTCATCAGCTTTCTCTGCTGAATATGGACAAAGACCCAGGCAACCAGTGGTCTGTCTTCACAAGATGAGCACTATCTAATCATGACAAGGTACCCTGATAATTGCCAAAGGCAGCTACTTACATTTGCCTGTCAGACTAAGGGTAATGGCAAGTTACCCTGTGCTCTGTGCACGGCTGTTTGTGACCATTTATTGTTTTTAGAAGCACCAGGTGATTTTGATTACCGACCACGTGACTCAGCCTGAAAATCTCCCCAGGCTGAAGTCAACTCATAATAAGTCTTTCCTCCCTTGACATGACATTCAAGCCACAGCTTGCCTAGTTTTTTAGTTAGACAGGCTAGAAAACCTCTTAGCCAATATGCCCAGATTTAGTTGTACTAGCTAGAACCTCAACCTGCAAGCAGTCAAGGTCTTGTGCTCCTGAGTCATCCATTACAAGGATCAAGCTTCTGAGACTGCATGCTCAGCTTAACAGCATTTTTGGGTTTGGATGCAATTCAACAGTAACATCCAACAGTTATCAAATATAGTTCAAGAAGAGAAGAACGTTCCAGGGACCGTAAGTAACTGCGTGAGTGCAAGCTAAGAAATTATTTACACTTCTACCTCACATACAAGAACGAGCAATGAGCTATTTCCAAACTCTTGTAATACAAGTAAACTTAGTTCACTTAAGTCACTGTTGAGCTTACTGTGACTTACATCTATGAGGCTGAGACTTCTTAAAATCTGTTCATGCCAGGTGTGCTAAAAAAATATTCCCAATTCCCTATTTAAATATGGGAATACATTTGTTAACCATACCTCATGTGTACCAGGACAAGCTTATTCTACTGTTGTGTATTTGCATTTGGATTTAGATTTGAACTTGCTGAGTAGATCAACAAACTTTATGACTAAACATACCTGGAAGTACATCAAACAAAGCAATGCAACAACTAAATAAACCTGGTGAAAGCACCTGAAAATGTTTGTAACCTGGCATAACTATTCCACAAGACATTACAGTCTGGAGTTAGTCTAAGGGAGAACAACTCCTGTTTTTTAAAAAGCAGCTAAGAAAATGCACAGCTAATGGTGTAAGAATAAAAACAGAAGATAAAAAGGTCTAAATTTCAAAATGTAACAGAAGAAATACACATACTCTGGAGCAAACTTATCCAGCCTCTTGAAGAGTTCATTTTTTATTTCCTGGTTCTCCACAATGGCTTCTATCACCAGATCCGTGCTGTGGACCACTGCTACTGCATCTGTGCTTGTTGTGATGTTCTTTAAGGTCTTCTCAATGAACTCAGCACCAGCCTGAAACATTTGCAAGAAGTTGCAATGTCTATTTACAATTATTGAATTTATTTTTACATGAAAATCCCCTTATGTGCTCTGAAGTGTTTTTAAGCCCTCAAAAATTCAGGCAGTCTGACACATTTCCAAATCAGTGAGAAAGTTCTAAGTATGTACAGATATGATGCTTTCACTGTCAAAGTTTTCCTTGCTTTGAAGCAAATAGGAGACCTTTCAATTCATTCTTTTAGGAAGACTTATTTGCTGCAGTCCTACCTTCAGCCTGAAAGTGAACTGGTTGGCCAATCAGTAGTTTCTTAGACAACTTAGACTTGCCCTCCACAAAGAGGAACCTTTCCAGTTTCAAACCTTTGCATTGTTTTCATTCAGTGAATATCTGGTTTCACTCCTATGAACAGACATGTGCTAGTTCATTAATACTTCAGGAAATTAAACAGCTTACACTCACTATAGTTTCAGTGCAAATGTGGGGAAAAAATACTCTGTTTTCTGACTAGTAAATCTGCGAATCACCAACATAGTTTGTGAGGGGAGAAAGCAAACAGAACTGCAAGACTCTGCAAGAGTAAATGGAGAGGTAGTACAAGTAAAAACATACCTGCATGCTAGAATATAATGCCATATATAAAGTACAAGCATAATGTGGACAATTTTCTTTTGGATTAAAAGACTCTCCATAATTATTTTTCTTCACAGAATCGCAGGGATTGGAAGGGACCTCTGGAGATCATCTGGTCCAACCCCCCTGCCAAAGCAGGTTCTCAGGAGATCATCCAGTCAAACCCCCCTGCCAAAGCAGGATCCCTACACCAGGTTGCACAGGGAAGTGTCCAGGCGGGTTTTGAACATCTCCAGAGATGGAGACTCCACACCCTCTCTGGGCAGCCTGTTCCAGTGCTCTGTCACCCTCACAGTGAAAAAGTTGTTCCTTAAGCTTGTATGAAACTGTCAGTGTTCCAGTTTTTGCCCATTGCCACTTGTCCTGTCACTGGGTACTACCGAAAAGAGCCCGGCCCCATCCATTTGGCCCCTGCACTTCAGGTATTTATAGACATTGATAAGATCCCCTCTCAGTCTTCTCTTCTCCAGGCTGAAGAGTCCCAGCTCTCTCAGCCTCTCCTCATACAGGAGATGCCCCAAGCCCCTAATCATCTTTGTGGCCCTATGCATGTAGGCTCTGGTTACCCTAGTATTACTATAATTTTTCTTCTGTACTCCCTCATGCAAACAAGCTCTTTTTCATTTCCTTTGCCTGCTGTGTCATTCATGCTTGTAATCATCAATACCAATATATATTATATATGTTAATATGTATCAAAAGAAGAACTGTGGAATTTAGAGAAACAAGCATAGCAACAAATAACACTTAGGATATAAATTTAGATGCATCAACTGCTCCACAGTGACTTGTATATAAATCTTACTCAGTAATGTAAATGCAAAGTATCTTATACATCTAATTCAGGTTACTCCAGGGTAGTTAAACTTGCATTCTAATTTCCTTTGCAGTAGTCCTGTTCCCAAGTCTTGGGAAAAATAAAAGACTTCTTACTAAGGTATTAAGACATTTTTGCTACTATTCACTTTTGGACAAAATTGGTGCATTCCCAGGTACACGCTCAAAGATAGTTTGCTATTAAGTTAGGATGGATAATTTGGCACCATTTCACATTTAGCATCTGTTTTAAAAAGTCATCAGAATTTTCCCAGTGTTTTTTCTTTTTAAACCAGTATCTTAACATGCTCTGTAATGCATAACTGTAAACAATATCAGAACTTCAGTATTGTAGTTTTTATTCTCCTAAATTTTCCTAGAAGAATAAAGAAGAGAAAGTCAACCTCAGGCTTATCTGCAAACTTCTTCTTTGTCACTCTCTTCAAACTCTCTTCAATTCCTTTTGTAGACTTTTTAAGGATTTCATCTGACTGGTCTACTAACACCACAGTGTGACCACTGGCTGCTGCAACCTGAAAGTTAAAAAAAAAAAGATTCAACATCAATATCACAAAACAACCAACTACATTGACTTGAGTTGGGGCAGACAATACACTAGGCAATGAATCAGGCAAAAGAGAGCATTAAAGAACATTAATCAAGACCAGGAAAATGATAAAAACCTGGACACAGTTGGGGCGGAGGGGAAGGGATAAAGGTCTCGAACAACTTGAGCCAAAGGGAAAAAGAAATTCGTTTTCCCCCCGAGCTGTCTGCAGAATGCTACCTGCACCTGGAGGCAGCTGAATTCTGTGACTACAGCTAGAGAACAAACAGCTGTCTTGCAACTGGGATCTTGTAAGAAAAAAGGACTGCGGAGACCAAAACTGAAATGCTGGCAGGGTGAGCGGGTGACATAGGGGATGGCTAACCCTGCGTTCCTGGGATGTAGTTTAACACAACACTAGGTGTGTTAGGCCATGAGCATCTCCCTGCAACAACAGGAAGGTGACAGGGGAGCTGGGAGTAGCAGTGAAATGTTTGCCACCCCAGGACTCTGCACAGACCTCAATAGCCCACCAGCTCTCCTTACTACGTACTTGGCACCAACACTGGCTCAGCTACAGACAGTGCTCTTGGGTTGTCTTTTTCATTGGTATTCAATTAATTTCAAACATATAATATCACTTTCTCACATTACAACAGCTTAATAAAAATCACCTATTCATTATCTACGACTTCACTATTCATTAATTAATGTTTGTCTTGTTAGTTAGCAAAAGCCCATCTTTATTTTCAGAATTCTAGAACTAACAGAGCTGTAAAATAATAACTGTGGAAAACAGATGTTAAAACATGGTTTCACTGACTGTTTTTAAAGTCACACAATTTAGGAGCTTCCCTCTGCAAACTTTTACTTTACATCTAACCCAGAGACTAAAGATTCTGCTGTGCCCACAAGACCTACTCCAACAAAGACAGCCGAAATGAAAAATACAGAGATATCCCCTGAAGAAAAGCTTGGTGCTATTCTCATCCAAGTTGACTCACTGATCCAGCAAACAAGAAATGCCAGACTCCTCTGGACAGCAGCAGTACGGCTTTAACAAGGTGTCAGTCTGCAGCTGGACATTTCTTATCCCTTTTTTTTTTTTTACTTTTTAATTTACACTATGGCCATTACATAAAAACAACAGAATCACAAAAAACCTTTAAACTAAGCTTGGACTTACACTCCTAACACTTCACCTGTTGCTGATCATTTGCAAAGGCAAAGCAAGACCCTGCACTCTTCAGAAGAAAAAATCAATGCCAAATACATTTATATGAGATGCTTCACTGATTACCCATTTACCAACATCACTGACCAGTTGGGAAAAAATCCTACAAGTATTAACATCTCCCTTTCCCCACCTCATTCTTACCATATTCACATGGATAGAAAATAAAAATGACACCATCTCCTCGCAATTCAAACACACGCTCGCTCAGACTCTACTATCCAATGACCTCAAGAATACTAAATAAGAAACACAACAGTGCTGGGGAATCAATTTATGCTTTTTTCATACAGAAGTGCTTTTCACATGGCAGAAACAGAAATTATAAACTCCTGGCTTCCAGCCATACATTTTAGCAGAGGTTAGCTTCTCCTGGCAGTATAAGAAAGCAAGGAAAGCGGAGAGACAATTTCTTAAGTTCTACAAGGGAGGAAAAGCTTTATTAATACAGTGCAGTGGAGATCCCACTCAGTGTTATAATCATCTCTGCTTTGAGATAATTCTGGATTGATAAATCGGAGGCAGATGGTCAGCAAAACAATCCTCAGTCCTTAACTGTAGTAGAAGACTGCAACTCCTGCCACTGCCAAATAGCAGACATGTTTCTCTTGACAAGCTGCTCTCTGAAAATGTGTGGTCTAACAGAATATGCAGATCACTTCACTTTCCCTGTGGAATTATAACCTTTGCATAGTGCTCCTCTTCCTCAAACACAAGAACAACTTTCTTCAAAGTTGTTCTTTGATGGTTCTTTCAGTGGAAATCTCAAGCTGTAGTATCAAGGTACAGAGGAGTGTTTTTATCAGACATGTTAATAAGCAACTAGCTAATTCCTTAGCAAAACAAAATAACTCCTGTATTCCTCCTGCAGGAATGTGAGAAATCTTCAGTTCTAAGGAAATCCATTAATTAATGAAAATGGACAACTGCTATTTCTGAACTCCAACCTCCCTGTCAGTTTCTGCTCAGGGATGCCCGCATGCTCCAGTCACTCTTTGTGGTCTGTGAACTACCCTGGCATCTTGGGCTACAGATGCTTTCCATGAATGAAATGAATGAAGTAAATACTTAAATCTTAAATCACTGAAAGGACTGTTCGGTCTTCTGTTCCAAAGCTAAAGATGAGCTTGAAAGCCAAAGGCCTGAGATTAAACACTGGGGAAACAAGTCCTATTTAATATTAACCACTTCACAATTCTGCACATGACTGAAAGCTGAATGCTCATTTTAGCTGCTGCATTTTACTTTAATAACTTGTAAAATGTCACTTGATCTGCTCCCCTGACAAGTCAGAAGAAGCTGCTTTCCTGGACCAAATATCATTACACACTGTCAGGTTTATAAGCAGCCCGCACAATGTCTTAAGAACCACCTTAAACAATTTAAAGCATTGACCTTGGTTCTTCTTGCCTACCCGTCGGACCTGAAAATGGGTGGATTAGCGAGCGATGAAAAACTTTGAAAGTTGAGCAAGAGCAGCGGTGCAGCAACACTTTCCCTCCTCCGCAGCAACAAATCCCCAATTCCCACAGACCTGCCGAGGCGGCAGCGCGGGCGCGTCCCTCCGCGCCCCGGCAGCCCTCACCCTCGGGGTGCGGTGAAGACAC